GGGGCGGCCCCCCCCCCCCCCCCCCCCCCCCCCCGGAGGAGAAATTAGGGAAATTCTAGTCCCCCCCGTCCGTTGCCCTGAGCTTCCATTGGCGAATTCCTGGCAACGCCTCTGGCTGTGGCAAGAATAGACTAATTATGCCCACTTGGAACCTGATTGAATCTTCAAGCTTCTCCTCTCTGTGGGTGAAGAGATGTGAAATGTACATAATTACCTTCTTCCAAAGACTTCGTTTTGCATTTTCAAAAGCACGTTTTTACATATTTTGCCACTTTTGTGCATATTTAAGTGCATATGCACCTAATAGGTTCAAAGAGTTTCCAGACTGAGTCTGATTCGCACCACTGGTCACGGTTGGAGCAATTTATTTGGTGTTTCCTTGGAAGTAGTGGTCCTGTCTCGTCACACATTTTTGCCAGCGCCTGTACAATTGTAAACAGGGGACGAGCCCATTTGTTTTGACATCCTTGAGCACGGCCATTGCAGCTTTCATCACCTCACCGGCGCTGGAAGAGCGTCTTCCTTTCGGAAGATTCTTCTTCCGCGGCAACTGATTGAAATCGCACAGAGTGAGATCAGTCGCGTGGCGTGGCGAGGGGGGGGGGGGGGGGGGGGGTAGATCTCAAGGCCCAGGTGGAATCGGAAGAGAAGGAAAGCGGGGAAATGCAGCGAATCCGCCATGCGATACTGAAGACGAAACACGATACTGCCCTCACGGTCTCCCGTCAGAAAGAGATCGCTCCCCATGTCTGCCAAAAACTGCGTAACCATCGGCGACCGGTGAGTGGGTGCGTTGTCGTGAAGAAAAATGTGAAGAAATCCCTTCCTACCTCGAAACGTCGGTACTACTCGAACACCTGAGACCTTGACGTCGCATCGTTCCCGTACGCTATCTTCAACAGTGTGAGGATCTCTGTAGGAGTTTTCCCTAATTTTTGGGCAAAATTTGAGATTCGCAAGCTGCTCGAATTGCGACATAAACGCTGACAGACATCAGAGCAACAAATGACACTTGATAATTTGTGCGTGGTAGGTTCTAGCAGCCTTCAAGCGCATTCCAGAGACTTGGCATGTGTGAAGCGCATGAAGTAAATACCAAACTCTAAATCTCTTCCGGCTGTATGTTCTGGGCTGCCTAGTTTGGGCACAGTCCTCCCAGTCCGGAAAATGTTTGAACTTTCTACGTATGTGCATATTTTAGGACTTATTTGTGCGTAAAAATACGTTCTCTATTCATAATGACATGGTAGGCAAAAAAAGGTCTACGTTTATCTTAAACGGTAACGTTCTTTTCTATGGAATAACTACTAGTATGCTCACATACTTGTGAAAGAAACTTATCAATTGAATCTCGTCATTCCTAGTAGAACCACCGCCAACGGTTCTCAAATAGTAAGGAGAGATGGTGAGCCAGAGTCGCCGGTTAATGAGCTGAATGCTAGAAAAGTTTCAGAACCCAACCTAGTTTAACCTGATTCGACCCAACCTAACCTAATCAGGCCAAAAAAAAACGCGGAATGCTGAGTCTTGAAGACTTCCTGGTTGGATCGATTCCTTCGGTGAACAAGCTGAATTGTCCCCAGCGAAGCAGAGTCTAATGCCACCTAATGTGAATTTGTAAAATTTATTTAACCATTCCGTCTAGTAAAAAAAACCATTGGGGATATATTTGGGGGAGACAAAGGATCCACGATGGAAATTCAGGCCTTTATTAGAGTGGTGTATTTGTGTTGTAGAAACCTGAGTTGGCCTTAAGTCGCAGAGTTTTCGCGTCGAAAATAAAAAATCTCATGATTAAAGGTTTATGTCAATGAGGTGCAATTAGTGTTCAAGAGCCAACAAATATTGCATGAATTGTAGCACAGAGTGAAAGGAAGTTTTCACTGTCGTCCAGGACGGTTTCAGTACAGGATGTCTCCCATGCTTGCTAGCATCGTCTGTCGAACGCACCAGGTCACAAGGAAGAAGTGAAGGCGGAATCTCTCATTTCAGTCTTCATCGAGGGGTTGATCCGGCTCCGGTTGGTCGAAGACCTGGGGCTCAGGTTGCCTGTCGGAGGCCGCGAGATGAGGGTGATGTCCTTGCTCTTGACCATGCCCGTGGATGACATCGTCCATGGAATCCCGTTCGGCGTCGGCGGACGGTTCCTCGGACGTCTTCGCCTCCACCGTCGGCTTCCCCTCCAGTTTCGTCAGACATGGCAGCCTCGGCAGGACTCCCTGTAGGCACCAGTCTCTCCAGCTGTTATATCTCAGCTGGAGGGGATTGTCTGCGAAGAATAGCGTCCCCAGACCCGTTTAAACTTTTTAATGATCCTTGCCGGTGAGGGCAGAGATGCAGCCAGAGGGTTGCCTCCTCTCCTCCTCCTCCATCAAGTGTTAGGACAGGAGTTGTGTGCCATAAGTTTTATTTTAAAAAATTGTCAGATTCCAGAAACTCATTATAAATAGGGACGGGAGATTTGTTCAGCAACCCCCCACCAAATAAAATCTGGCTACTTCTCTGAAAGTGGATTTGAAAGAGACATACTCTCCAAGACGAGGTCCTCAAGATGTGGCAATTCCTTAAGGCGGTCAAACTCAGCCCAATCCTTCACCAGATTGTTGGACATGTAAAGGACCTTAAGGTTCTTGAGGCTGTTTATTCCTTTCATTTTCTCGATCAGGTTATAAGAAATCCATAATTCCTCCAGGGTCTCCCCGACCGCTTCCTGAAGGGAGACGAATGCGAGAATAAAATCACAAGATTGGAAGGAATGGAAACTTATCTCTTCCTTCCGGGGAAAAGGCCCTTTCTTTATCGAGGTGAAGGGGGGAGGGGGCGAGAGAAAGGAGGGAAAAGGGAGGAAGGGGGGGGGGAGACTGATAAGTAATGGGGGACTTACCAGGCCTGAAAAGCTCTTGATATAATTCCTTCCTAGAGACAGGATTCGGAGGTTTTCTGGAAATGTGAAAATTTTCAAATAGCTGCATAAAGAATAATAATGAGAATGTGACGGCCACCCCAGGGCAGGAAGGAAAACGGACTCACTCAGGCCTTGCAACCCCGTGATCTTGTCAATCATGTTGGTTGAAAGAGACAGTTTTCTGGAAAAGCAACAAAATCGGTCGATAAGGATTATTGATGAGAAAAGAGGGTCATTGTTGCGAGTGATCGGGAGAGAGAAGGGCTTTGGCGTGAAGGAATTTCTCCGATCCGGAGAATCGCTCCAATAGCTGGGAGGCAACCTGGTGCAGGACCTCCGATTGCTCCTCCTCCTTGCGGATCTCTCCGGGCAGCCTGTCCTCGTCTCGGAAGAGGAGGGTGTACTTGCCGTCTCGGATGGCCTCCAGCCACTTGCCGGTGAGCTGCATGATTCGGAGGTCCTCCATGTTCTTGGCTCGGTGGTAGAGGGTCTGGTTGAGGGTCTCCTGTAGCGACCTGATTCGGGATTTCTGGTCTGCCAGTTCCCGTCGGTATTCGTGGAGCTTTTTCTTTTCGGCTTCTTGCTCTTCTTCCGCTTCTTGGAGCCGGACCTCCAAGGTCGAGGCGTTCTTCTTGGCCCTCTGGGTCGCTTCCTGGAGTTCCTTGACCTTGCGGACTGCGACGGCGGAGGGCCTCTTTTTTGAGGTGAGAAGGGCGGATTCGGCCCGCATGCATAGGGTGTCACGACGAGAGACGCAGGTATGGAGACGGTGAGCGATCTCTTTCTGACGGGAGACCGTGAGGGCAGTATCGTGTTTCGTCTTCAGTATCGCATGGCGGATTCGCTGCATTTCCCCGCTTTCCTTCTCTTCCGATTCCACCTGGGCCTTGAGATCTCGACACAATTTCGTGTCTCGTTCTAGGGCCAATAAAGATTCTTCCGCATCGACAAGTCTCTCCTGGATGTCCCGTCTCTTGCCCTCGGCATTTCCAACCCGTTCCTGCAAGTCTTCCAAGTCTTTCTGCCTGTCCCGGGCCTTGGCCTTTGAGGCCTTCTCCAGGACCTTGGCGTTCTCGACCAGACCCTCTTCGACCTCCCTCTGCTCGTGCAGGACCTGATTCATGTGTAACAGCGCCCTCTGCATCTCCTTCACCCCTTTCTCGGTGAACTTGATCTCCCCCTCCACGTCGGCCAGCTCGGCCGTCATTCGGAGTTTCCTCTCAACGAAGAGCAGGGCTTTGTCTCGCCAGGCGTGCAACTGCTCCTCCGCGTTCGCCTTCGCCTCCGAAGCCTCCACCAAATCATTTTGGAGTCTCAGCCAGAGTTTTTGCGACTTTCGGTGCCGGGAGCGGACTTCTTCGATGTCCTTCTTCAGGCGTTTGATGGTTCCGGTTAGATGATCGTATTCTCCCCGGCCCGGGTCGGCGATGAGATCGTCTAGTCGTTTCTGGAGTCCGTCCACCTGACTCTGCTTGAGTTTCAACAGTCGGTCGGAGTTCCTCAATTCTCGTTCCGCTTTTTTCAAGGCCTCGCCCACCATTTGCCGACGAGATTCGGCGTCCTGAAGGCTGTCCTTGAGGTCTTTGATGTCTGCATCGCAGTCGCAAAGCTTGAGGGTCACTCCTGCGATTGCGTTCTCCTGTTCCGCCAACTTCCTTTCCAATTCGCGGTTTCGTTGCAGCATCTGAAATCTCTTTTGTCCCAAGTTGTTAATGCTGGACTTGGTCGCCATAGCGTCATGCAACCGGGATTCCATCTCGTCCTCCAGCTTCCTCTTGTTCGTGAGCAGATTTTGGAACTTGATGTGATCTCGCTCTTTCTTGCTTTCCAAGTCCTTCCGCAGAGTCTCTTCGTGCTCCCGGAGTCCGTCCATAGTCATGAGAGAACGATTCGCGTTGTCTAATTCCTTCTCCAGTTCCTCGCAGTCTTCGTGGAATCGCTGCAGCTCCTTCCCGCTTTTTCGGATCTCGTCCTCGGCTTGGCTGATTTTGGAATTCAGTTCCTCGCTTTGCCGGGTCTCGCGGTCGAAATCTTCTTGGAATCCTCGGATCTCCAGTCTGACGGCATTCAGGGTGTCTTCCTCGACCTGTAACTTCTCTTTCAAGGCGATGTAAGCCTCGTCCTGTTTCCGGGAACTGTGCAGGACGTTCTGCCAACCCTTGACGAGTTCCTTTCGCCGCTTTTCCGCGTCCACGATGTCGTCCTCAACGAGACGAATCGCTTTCTCCACCTCGCTGAGTTCCTCCTTCTTGATCGAATATTGAGATCGAAGAGTCTTGAGCTCTTGATCCAACCGACCCAGCGTGATAGAAAGTTTATTAAGCAGAAGGTCCTGCTTCTTCTTCTCCAAGGCCGCCTCGTCCAAAGTCTTCGTCGTCTTCTGCAAGGCGTTCCTCAGGACGTCCACTCCGACGTCCATGTCCTGTTGCAGGGTGGAAACCCAACGGTACTCGTAGGCCAGGATCTCCACCTGCTCTTGAAGGCATCTCTCAGTCTTCCGGTTCTCCTCGACGATCTTCCGAGCTCGGAGATACGCATCGGTGAGTTCCTGGACTCGGGAATCCGTCGCCGATTTTTGCTCGACGACTGTTTCCATCCTGTCGTAGTACTTGGTCAGTTGGGTCTGCTGCTGTTCCAATCGGTGTTGAGCATCGAAAAGGTTAAGTCCGAGTTCTTCGTGTTCTTCTTTCACACGACGGAGTCTGGCTCTATGACCCCGAATCTCTTCGTCTAAGGCCGACTGCCTCTTCTGGAGAAATTCCGTCAGGGACTTCTGGAATTTCTCCATCAGAGGGTGGTCTGGCTCCAGAATCATCTTGTCGGGGTCTCGCCTCATTCTTCCCTTCTCGGATTCGTCTAAAACGAATGCGAAACGAAATTTGAATGCTGAGATCGAATTAGACTTAGGAACATAAAAAAAACATTGCTGGATGAGTCTAACCTTGACGAAGAATATCCTGCATCTCCATTCTCAGCATGTACGCGTTTGTCCGATCAGCGTCCTGTTACGGCGAGGACACATTATGAATAAACCCATCCTCGGGAATGGGGTTCTCAAGGAAAGGCGACAAGGCCTCCATGCCAGACCCAATCGTCGACACTTCCTTCATGAAAAACAACTTTCGCGTTTCGATTTTGAAATAGTTGCCGTGCGACCTCGAGGGTGGGACTTATGATCACGATTTGCTTGGTGGCCTGGGCCTGTCGAGACCGAATCGTCGGAGCTATTTCCTTTCGCTCGAGGAGATGCTGGGCTGAGAGGTTTCGTGTTAATGGATGCTGTGACGAGGGGGTTTCACGGTGAAGATCTTCACTTCGTGATCAATATCACTGCTTTCAACGAATACTCGAGATTCGTGACCCAGATGAGAATAAAGAGATCGGGGAAAGACCCTTCTGGATGCACTACACCCTCTCGACTACGCTAGAGCATTTTATAGCTCCAAGGACCTCAAACGATTCCTTGAAGCCGAGGGGAAACGGAGGGGATAACTCACTCAACGTTCGTGAGAGAGGCAAGGGTTGCATCCATCTTGTCGATTGGGGGATAGAGGCCGATAAGTTTGATTTCTTTCGCTTCCGATGGGTCCATTTCGTGCTTCTCTTCCCACAGTCGCAGCGCCTCCTTTATGCTCGTTCCTTTCGCCTGGAACAAAAGAAGATCGGGATCTGTCTTCGGGGTGCTCGGAGAATTCTTTATTTTTCTTGGGTTTTCATTATTTCTGGGAGTATAAGGTATAGTTTGGACCTCCCTTTTCTCCCATTTTTCTTCTCTTTCATTTCCCTTTTCTTATGAAAGAGTCTTGAGGCTGAGATTGAATCCCCAACATGTCATTCCATTTCCAATATCTCCTTCGTTGCTGACTGAGAGAATCTTAATGATTCCCCAAGGTCCGGGACAATAGCTGCATCTGGCTATCCTTTCTAGCCCGATTATATTACTCCCTCTTTCAATCAAAGCCCCCACTACCACGGAGCAACTAGAGCAAGATTCGACAGAACCATCGCTTTTCTTCAAATTAAGAGGTTAGGTGATCACGTCGAACTACGAGAAAAGAAAAAAAAAAACCTTGGATTTTTCTCCGACGGGCGGAAGAGCGAAATCGCCAAAGCTGCTGACGGCCATCCCAAGACGATCACCACCCGCTAGTTACGATAATTTTAATATCGATACTCAACCCTTCCGCAACAGTCGCAGGAATCCACCAAACGCGGTGCGACACGGACACCAGTCGAACTTGGACTGAGCGCTAAGCGTGGAATTCTCCTTCATCGATTCTGCCCGCGCCCTTATACTCAGGTAGCAGGACACTCATGTCGTTTATCGTCCCTGCAGGCCTGTAATGGATGGAGGTGTCATTAAGGACGATCTCGTATCCTCGAGATCCCGTGACTACCCTCTCGCGTCACGGAAAGTTTCCTGCTTATCGATTAGATCAAGGATAGCCTGACTTTCTGCTAGCAGACAACGCAGTTCGCCTTGGCAACATGCGTCCGGAAACTTCCGAGATATTTATCCGGTATAAAGAAAAATGTACAGGGTGTCTCAAAGAAAACGAAAACCTTTTTTATTTTAATATTTTTGAAGGAGCGTGAGAATTTTAATGCAATTTTATTTCCACACGCACAACTGTCCACCCTCTTTCGTTTCCCCAAAAAAGAACGTTGAAAGTATTTAAACGATTCCGTAGACGTGGTCTTTAAACCTTTTCATTGATTTAAAAATAAAACTTCGTCGTTTTTAATGGGAAAAATATGGCTTCGTATAAACGACTAACTTCGATAAATCGATTAAACGATCAACATCGGAAAGCTACGAGGTGTTGGAATGAGGAATTATATTTTTTCCATTTCCTAGTCTCAGTCATACAATGCCCTCTTGCACAATTCAATTTAAGTGAAGACTCCTGCACGAGCCAATTCCCCATAACCCGATCTGATCGGCCTGATTCAAATCTTGGCCCGCCCCCACCCCCCAAACCTGAATGCCGACAGAACCAACGCGACCAGATCCGAGCAAACATCTTGAAACGATTAAAGTCAGTTCATGTTTTCAATTTCTTTCTCAATGGCTTCATGGGCATGGAACATGGCTAGCGCTAGCTCTATGTGCACGCTAAGCAGGCTCTTTATGAGCCCCCCCCCCCCCCTCCATTACTCCTGGTTAAGAGGAGACGCCGAATGAAGAAAGGGGCGAAAGAGGATGGAGGAGGAGAGGAAGGAGAGAGTTAAATAGCGGTGCTCAACAGCGATATAATGACTGTCCATTACCCTGTTCTAGAGACAAGACGAAAAAAATTGCACAACTACCCGACCCTAGGAGGGATCCCAGGAATTTCGGCCTGGAAAGCCAGCGGGTCGGCTTGGGTCGGGTTAAGCGGGCCTACCTGCAGCCCGTGCAGGACTCTACTCAAGTGTGCCAATGGTCTGTGCTTAACCATCTCATAATTAAAGTAAATTTAGCCTGCTACGAAATCATGTTGAAAGCAGCTTTCAGGCAAAATCACGGGTATCTCCGTCAAGCTGGAGCAGCAGATGTAATTCATCCTCTTCTTGCCGACAGAAGGGACACATATAATTCTTCTCATCTCCTACACTCGTTAGTGTCTTCCATTTCCATGTTCCCAGCCTCAGGGTTGCTATCTGGGCTTTAGCCATCTGCAGAATGTGTTCTGTATGGATTCAAGCCCTTTTGAGTCCCCTTGTCCCCAGATCTCCGAGCCATAGGTGGCAACTGACGTCACACAGGCATCAAGTAGTAGTAGTAATGTAGTAGTTATGTAGTTACTCAAGTAGTAGTAATGGAAGTATCTAGCATCAGGTACTTGCTACGTCGTAGGTGCGGCTATGAGACTTAGATTAACCCATGCTGGAAGTACTTCGCTGTACTGCCAGTGCTCTGAGGATTTGGGATCCCCGAAAGCAAGGCTGATGATGGTAATTCAAAGTTTTCGTCGAAATCACCGAAGTGGTTTTTGCCCTCGGACACCTCGCGAACTTTTCCATTCCGATTCCTTTCCAATATCTCAAGTTCCCGCTTGATCTGAGGAACTCGAAATATTCACGCAAGTTAGGAAAAGCCCGACAGCAGGAAATTCGGCCATCGCTCCTTCCGCGGATCTCTTTAAGCAGGGCTCGTTTGCCTTTATGGCACAAGAGGGAGTGACGCAGCTAGAAGAAGCCAGGCACTAGATCGAGAAGACTCCACGAAAATAATTTATCTTTAGAGGGCTAATCTGATCTGAGAAGGGAAGGGACCGGAGATGCAGGAATCCCAGCCAGCATCCCGACCCCCTTGCTCTTTCCACGCGAATTTTTGTCTGCCAATATCTCGCGTGGTGGACGACTGGCGTGTGGTTTTTTTTTAAAAAGGGATTCGCGATGGTCGACTCCTCGCGGGGAAGGGGACCTTCGGATCACGTCTAGAAATTAAATTTAAAAAAAAGAGATATTGGTCCACTCGGTGGTTTGCATGTCTCTCCATTTTTCGCGCCAAGCACTGAAATGTCTTGCGGATGAACGCGTTACGCGATCGACTGAACCGGATTTGTTGTGTCTTCGGGAGCCAATGAGCCTTGCCGTTCGTCTTGAAGCACCGCAATATCCGTGGCGATTGCGATTAGTGACGTCACGACCTACCTAAAAACAGCATAAAGTCATGAGGTTGTGTCATGACTCTTGCATGCGCTTATGCCACGACACGTGCCGCTGCATGCGTCACGGATCCATAGTGCCGCTGCACCAGATGTCATCGCGTCCCCCGGATTCTTAATATTCCTCGGCGAGATGAAACTTCGACGGTTCGTTTCCTCCATCGATCGCCGGCCCGTTCCGCGACGACGGGAAATTGCACATCGTCAGAAAGATGAAGATGGCTTTTCGGTGACATGCAATTTGCCATCTTAGTGGATCGGGACGGGACGCAATGCGAGAGAGAGAGAAAGTATCTTAGCAGCTTATATTTCCCCGGGGAGATGAGAGACCGGGAGAGACTCTTCTCGGAAACGAAGGGAGATGCCAGGCTGCAGCCTGTCCTTTTAGCTCCGGCAATCCTAACTTGCTGCCCTTTCGGGACCGCACTATTCCCTTCCTTTAGGAGGACGAAGCCCACGGGCTCAGTAGCTCTTTCCCTCGTGGGAGCATCCCATTCTGAGTTGGCGAGTTCCTAATAAACAGACAATTGGGAATCAACGTCATTCTGCCTCAGCATTTCGCACAGACCATCCTAGTCATGAAAGAAACACACTTTGAAGCACCTGGACCGAAGCAAAATTTTGCTAATTGACGCACCATCACGAAGAAAGTCCAATATCCAAAATGATTCCTTGGGATCTCCAATAGAAAAATGCCCTCTGGATTTCCCAAGAATTCATCCCACCTTCCTGCCCCAGATGTTTCCAAATTATTGCAGCGGGCTCATATACAAGAAGAGTACGATCTCGTTACCATGCATCACAGCCATCAAATGAGGATTGAAACAGATTGAAGATCGTGGAGCTAGGCAGTTGAAACGATGCTCGTGCGCATTGGAAGCACCTTTAGTAATTCCAGCAGCTTCTTTTTTATGAGATCAATTAGTGTTTATTAGTTCTAAGGCTTCCTATAGGTTTTCCCTTTTCTTTGAGTCCCCCATTGGGATCTGATCTGGGATCAAACGGGATTAAATGAGAGTATTAGGAACCTATACGGGGTGAGATAGACTACTGGGGGTAAGACGTTACTTGGAATCAGATGAGGTTACGGGGAAAAAGGATATACGTTCGGGTTTTGGTATCGGAGGGCGTTCCTGGGATTTCGATCTTCTGCGACTGGGGATGGAAAGTGTCGTTGTGTGGT